AATTAATTCTGACTCTTTCTCCTTATAAGATCCATGGGGAAAAAAGAGACCATGGCTATTTGGTTCATCATTAAGATCTTAAATTTAAGCCTAGGGCGTGGTAGAGTGCAAACATTAGTTATGTCAACTAACAAACACTCTGCTAACATGAATGACAGGTTGGCTATAAGATACACACAGGAATGAGGTTGCAGCTTCCCGCTCCATAACCATCTATTCCCCAGAGGCTAAGCCGCTCAGCTCTAACTTCAGGCTCAACCCCATCCCCATCTTTCAGGGAGTGGTTCTCAATCCCAGACAGACATCCCAAGTGGTTTTCAACCCTGGAAGATTTTTTAAAAATCACCTATGTCTGGGCCCACTCCCAAGCATTCTGATTTAATTTCCTGAGCGCTGACTTCATGCCTGGCCCTGACCCTGGCCTCAGGTTGCTGCCAGTCTGCTGCAGCATCTAGCACAACCATGTCTCCTTGTCTGTGTTGGATTCATGCTCTGTATGTAACATGCATGTCCAAGATGCAGACAGGGACAGAGTGGCTCTGTCGTAGAGGCAGGAAGCCTTCAAGCAGAAGGTGATATTTGAGCTGGTTCTGCAACAAACATGAAGAGTTTTCCAGACAAGGAAGAAGTTGGACATTTCAGGCAAGAGAAGCTATGTGAAGGATTAGGAGAAACACAAGAAGAATATGTGTTTGTGTAGAAGATCATAAGGCATCATAAAAACACTGATCCCCAAAGAATGGGTGGAGAAAGTGAGCCTCGGGGGCTCCTCTCATCAAGTAGCATGACTGTCTTCCCCATGCAGAGCCTGGGGACCCACTCAGCCAAACTTTTCCAATCTCTCCAAGCACCAAAGAGTGAGTCATCCCTGGCATTCCCCTGCCACTAGCTGTCACAGAGTCCCCAAAGGATGTGGAGAGAGAATCTCCATGGCGTCCAGGACAGAGAGAGGGAAGGAGGAGTCAGGAGTCAAACAGAAAGAGGCTATTCCCTGAGGGGCCAAGAACAGTATAAGACCCCCGATCCTACCTCTGGGATGAGGCATGTCCCTCATATCTCCCCCTGCCATTCTCACCGCAGGCTGGCCTGGAGCTGCTCTGCCAGAAGAACTACCCACCCACCTCCGTCCTCTAGGTATGTCCTGCCAACCCAATAACCACACACCATCACAGTGACAGCAGCTGGTGTCTGGACCAAGATATATCAAATGTCTGTGTGCTGGGGAAGAATGAGCTAAGAACGCAAACTTGACAGGAAATGGGCAAGCCGCATATTGAGAAATGCCAGGCCAGCCTTGCCAGACTTAAATGTGCTCGTGAGTATAGTCTGGAAAGAAAGAAAGACTCAAAAATTTCAGCAGAGAGAAAGGAGCTAGCAGTAAGCAGCTAAGAGAACCCTCCAGACAGCTAGAATCTTAAGATATCAGAGCTGAAAATGCTGCCCAGTTTGACCTAGGGTCTTGCTACTCACACTGTAGTGCTCAAACCAGCAGCCTCACCTAGGAGTTTGTTAGACATGCAGACTCCCCAGTCCTTCTGTTGAACGGCAGACTCCCCAGTCCTTCTGTTGAACGGCATTCAACAACAGCCTTGCGTGATTCCTATGCACAGTGAAGATCGCGACGCTCTGCTGCTCGGGGTCTCAAATCAAGATGCATTACAGAATTATCTTGGGACAAGTCTCCTTCCTTCGTTGGAACTGTTTTTTTACTTTCAAGAAAAGATACACTAGAATATCAGGATCACTCCTCATGGACAAAAAGAAAACAGAGAAATTAGTGGAGAATTAACTCTATATGTTTTGTACACACACACACACACTCAATAACAGCTACTTAACTGAACTTTGGGGATCCTTGTGTTCAAATTTTTCAAAGCAACTTAAAAGCCCTGAAGTCTCGCTGTTCCCATTTTACGGATGGAGAAATGGAGAGGCACTGGGAGCACCTCCACGCCTCACTTTGTGAAGGTGAGTAGTGTTTGCTTTCCATGTTGACAGACAGAAACACACAGGGATTTGCCACCAGCTGGGTTCTGGATGCAGAATTCCAGCCAGTCAGCTGACTGCATTCATGGAGAACATGTGTTGGGTAGACTGGAACCCCACAGTTTTCTCTTCCCCGAGAGACTATCTGACCTCCACCAGTAACCCCAACAAGGAAGAGGGGGAAGATCTCTAACATTCTGTATCCCTAAGAATAGAGAGAAGAATTAGGGATAGCCCAAAATGCTCGGTGAGGGGAGACACACAGACACTAAAACAGAGCATTATAAAACAATGGAGTAGGGCTACAGTACTGAGTCCAGTGTGCGGGGTCCCAGCCTGAAAGGTTAGGTTGTTGGGTGTTCAGATAAAGCTTCCTGGGAAAATGACCCCTGAATGAGTCTTAAACGGTAAGAAGAATCAGCTCTGGATATGGGGATGGGTAAAATGATGAAACCCTCTGAAATGCCCTGGGCCCGTTAGTGGGGCCCTATCTTTGGTTGGAACAACAGCTGTATGTTATATATACATATACATAAAACGTATTATTGTTTTGTGATTTTTCATCCAATTGTCTATTTTTTCTGCAAATTATGGTTTTAATCTCAATATGTTTTTGAGATTTATCCACATTGATACATGTAAGTAGAACCCATTCCTGTTTAATGCTCATGAGCCTTTAATTAACATTTAGGTTTGACTAGTGTTTGGCCATTGCAGACAGATCAAGAGTGCATGCACCCCTGGATGTGTCTTCTTATGTACATGTGTGAGAGTTTTCAAAAGTAAACACCGAGAAGTGGAATTACTAGGCATTATAAACTGAATTCCCCCCCCCCGGCCCCCATTTATATGTTGAAGCCCTAAACCCCAATGTGACGATATCTGGCAGTGGGCCTTTGGGAAGTAACTGGGTTGTCATGAGGTCATGAGGGTGAAGAACTCGTGATGCGGATTAGTGCCCTTGGAGGAAGAGACCACACAGCTTGCTCTCTCTCTCGCTCTGCCATGTGAGAATGCAGCAAGAAGGCAGCCATCGGCAGCCATCAGGAAGAGGCCTCCACCAGAACACAGCCATCCTGGAACCCTGACCTCAGACTTTCCAGCCTCCAGAACTGCAAGAAATCAATGTCTGTTGTTTAAACCACCCAGCCTGTGGTACCTGTGATAACAGCACAGGCCAAGGGAGTCACTAGGGTATGCACAGTTGGGGGTAGCAACTGCTCAATTGTCCTCCAAATGTCCTGATTTACATTTCCACCAGCACAATCTCACCAACATGTGACACTGTCAAATTTTATCATCCCAGCTGAGCTTCGTAGGAAGACTTTCATCATCCTCACCAGGCACATTCGGTCCCAAACATCTAAACTTGTAAAGGAAGAGAAAGAACATGTGCTCGCCTCTAGCCCCTGTGCTACACACCTGTTCTCTCGAAGGCCCTCCAACAGTTGTCCATATGAGAAATAATAATAATTAATAATTAATAATACTATAATCAACTCTGTTTTGCAAACTCACAACTGTAAACCTACTTTTGCCACACCCTGTATGTTTTCTACTTTACAATGAGAAAACAGGCAGAGAGGTGACGTGACTTTCCGGAAGCTGCACCCCAGAAGGTGACAGAACCCATGCTCAAAACCAAGTCTGCATGCTGCTGATGTTCATGCTCTTCTTACCGTTTCATACGTTCAACTAGTCTTTATTGAGTACTGCTTACGTACCAAGATCAAGTGCAGGGCTACTCTTAGCACACAGCAGTGCTCATTGTTTGTTGAATAAATATTGAATCAAGGAGCTCAGAGCCCACAGGAGAAACAGACACACACACAAAAGTTCAATAGAATGATGAAGGGCTGGGATCCCCAGTGCAGCGGGGAAAAGCTGAGTTTTCTTTGAGTACATTTTTACACCATAGTTAGTTTCTGTCAAACACAGAAAGAGGAAATGGGTTCTAGGCAGAGCGAACAAGAGGAAAAAGCACAGAGATGTGAAACAACATTACATTTTCTGGAGGTTACAATACTTTTTTAAAAAGATGTTTTTATTGATTTTAGTCGGAGGAGGGAGAGGGAGAGGAACGATTGGCTGCCTCCTGCAGGCTGGAGCCCCGCAACCCCGGCATGTGCCCTGACCAGGAATCGAACTGGTGCATGGGACCATGCTCAACCAACTGAGCCGCACCAGCCAGGGCTGGACGTCAGTTACACTGCTTTTGATCACCTTAAAGTTGCTTCCTTCCCGTATTGAGGCAAGACATCTGGTTCCATTCAGTTCGAGTCGCTGGACCTCTGTTAAACACCAGCGGTGTGCCAGGGCCTGGGTGAGATGCTTCTCAAGCATTATCTCATGGAATCCTTGCAGTTTCTTTTTCTCCTGACACAGGTGAGAAAATTGAGGCTCAGAGAGATGAGAAGTCTGGCCCATGAACACTTTCAGATCTTTCTTTCCACTCCTGGCTGTCTCCCGAAGATACCAGCCACTGCTGCGCTCTCCTTTCCCAGGTCTTCCGCCAGTGACAGGTGTCCTTCCAGCACACACTGAGACCCACAGGAGTGACCCTTTAGATCAGGAGACTCTCTGCCCCTTCCATGGTCTCCTTTCCTCCTTGGGAAACTGGAGAGGAGACTGCCTATGTAGCCATGGAGTTTTCAGTCCGTGTCCACACACTATCATCCCAGCCGTCACTCATTCACTTAACAAGTATTTACTGAGCACATACTATGTGCCAGGCAATGCTTTCAGAACTAATTCACTATTGAATACAAAGTGAATTGGACAGACAAGACTCCTGGGCTTGTGAAGATTAAAGTGTGTGATGCCTCAGAGTTAAAAACAAAGGTTTAAAAGGTTTTATCGCTTGTCCAAGGTCACAGCAAACTTGCTACCCGGTTAAGACTGAAACTCAAGTATAGCTGATTCCCAAAACAAATCGCTTTCTTCTCCCAGTTGATCACGACCTTTCTCTCATCTCCCTCTTGCTTTGTTTCTCCCCTCAGTCTCTGTTCAGCAGGATGCCTCCAGAGAACGTCACCTGGGCCCGGGGGGTCCCGGCTGAATTCATCCTCCTGGGCATCACGGATCGCTGGGACCTGCGCCTGACCCTCTTCCTGATCTTCCTGCCCGTCTACCTGGTGGACCTGCTGGGAAATGTGGGCATGGTGCTGCTGATCTGCGTGGATGCCCGGCTCCACACGCCTATGTACTTCTTCCTGGCCAGCCTCTCCCTGCTGGACGCCTGCTATTCCTCGGCCATCGGCCCCAAGATGCTGGCGGACCTGCTGCGGCCCCAGGCCACCATCCCTTACGCAGCCTGTGCCCTGCAGCTGTTTGTGTTCGCCGGGCTGGCCGATGCCGAGTGCTGCCTGCTGGCAGCCATGGCCTACGACCGCTACGTGGCCATCAGAAACCCGCTTCTCTACGCAACGGCCATGTCGCCGCGGCTGTGCCTGACTTTGCTGGGCGCGGCAGGCCTGGGTGGCGCAGTGAGTGCCACTGTCCACACGACCTTCACCTTCCGCCTGAGCTTCTGCCGCTCCCGGGAGGTCAACAGCTTCTTCTGCGACATCCCCCCACTGCTGGCCATCTCGTGCGACGACACCCGCCTCAACGAGCTGCTCGTCTGCGCCCTCTGCGGCTTCATCCAGACGGCCACGGTGCTGGCGATCGGCGTGTCCTACGGCTTCATCGCCGCGGCCGTGATCCGCGTGCGCTCGGCCGCGGGCCGCCGCCGGGCCGCTTCCACCTGTGGCTCCCACCTGGCGGCTGTGGCCATGCTGTACGGCACCCTCATATTCATGTACCTGCGGCCCAGCTCCAGCTACGCCCTGGACTCCGACAAGATGGCATCTGTGTTCTACACCCTTGTCATCCCAGCCCTCAACCCGCTCGTTTACAGCCTGCGCAACAAGGAGGTCAAGGAGGCCCTCGGGAGGGCCTGGCGCCGGCTCTGCGGTCCGGCAGGGGGCGCCCGTGCCAGGTCGGAGCGGGCTGATTAGGACTCACTGTCACTAGGGGTGAAAGTAAATGTTCCTTTGGCTTGAGTGTCCCTTGTCATTATTTGAGGGACTGCAAAGAGGAAGAAAAGAAAGCTTGCGGAAGGGAGGCAGGAAGCTGGGGATAGTCTAGGGCTGGACTAGAGTCCAGGGAGTGCTGCTACCGGGCTACCTCGGGCTCCCAATGTTCCCAAGCTCCCAGAGGTCACCGGGTGCAGGAACAGGTTTACTTGCCACTGACCTTGTAAGAGGCTGAGTCCAAGAAATACTAGGCGAGAACTGGGTTGGCTGTAGGTGTTTATAGGTTCTTGTCCTGTTAAGGTTCTTTGGGACCAGTGAGTCTGCTCCTGCTCTCCTTGACCCCAAGAAAACATCTTCAGAACCCACTTGTGCCCAAGAATGGGACTGACTGCACCCAGGCAGACTCCCTCCTGGTCAGCCTGTGTCTGCTTCTCGCTGGGAAATGCCTGAACAGCACCAAACACACAAGCTCACTCCTAAAATCCCAACACTTAGGTTAAGATGTGGCCAAGGTTACATTAGTTCAGGGCTACGACAGAGGTCAGGAAAGTGTTAGAGCTATGGGCATAGTTAGAATAGGGTTAGGATTAGGGTTCAGATTATGGCTACAACTGGGGTTAGGGTTAGGAGAGAGCCAGGGTTAGGTTTAGAATTTAAAAGCAGCTGGGAAAATTTAGGGTTGAATTAAAATTATGTAACTGTTAAGATCTGGGTTGATTTTAATTAGTAGTAGATTTGGGGGTACATTTAGGAGTCGCAGTTTGGATCAACTTGAACTCCTATTAGAAATATTTTAGGGTCAGTGTTAGAGTGCGGGACTAGTTACAACTGGAGTTCGGGTGTTCTTTTTATTGCTAGATTAACTTTCAGTGAGAGTTTAGTTAGGTTTGAGTTCTGTTAGATGTAGGTTTTACGTTGGTGTGGCTAACAGCTGTGAAAGGTTTGAATCGGAGTCTAGTTATTATGACAGTTGCCCTAGTTCAGCAGTAGATGAGAGATGGGCATACAAATAGCATTTAAACTATCAAAAGGACACATTTGGAGTCTTAATTTAAGAATTATTTAAAAGTATGGATAGTGGTCCATGTTTCTTCAAGCGTCAGGTAGGAGTTGGTTGCTGGTGGCTGGGCGTTTCAGCGTCCTGAGTATGCTGACACCACATGTGCTCAGGTGGGACACACTGTGTGTGTTGGGATGACAGCTCCAGAGGCAGAGCTGGAGTTAGGACAGGGACTGTCACAGCACTGACCTCTTGGGCAAAGATAACCACAGTGCTCCAAACCTGGGGTCGCACTGGAACTTCAGACCAATGCTCTTGGGCCTTTGTTCTCCCCCCTCCCCACCCCCACCTCGAGTTTACAATTTTGACAGATTGTCTCTCTGACTCAGTTACCTATGGGCCCTTCCGTGCAGGATAGGATGAACCCTGGGAGTTATGGCAGGCATTCTGGGGATATGGCCAGAATCAAATATCAGCTCTGGCCTGAAGCTCTTTCCAGATCTCCCAATTGTAACTGAGTTGAGGCCGATTCTGGTAAGCATTTCTCTTTTAAACCTCCTACAGCACTGTTTCCTAAGACCAGCGATCAAAACAAAAGCATTTTGGGTGTGGAAGACAGGAGTCTGCTTTTGGGACCCTTGGTGGCATTGAGGGAAAGGAGCATTCCACGGGCAAAGGACAACGCACACAGGGCCAGGAGGGCAGATGAGCGCGGAGTGAGCAGGAGACTCAGGAAACCCACCTACGTGGCTGGAGAGGGAAAGAAGTGGAGGGAACTTGAAGACGGAGGATCTGGGATGAGAGGGCAGCCATGGGTTGGATAGCAAGTAGTGGAACTTGGACCTTATTCAGTAGGCAATAGGGAATCAGGGGAAGTTCACGTGTTCAAGGTCAGCCTCACGCTTGTTCCGACACCGGAACAAGGCTACACGCAGGCACATCCCTTATGCCACAATTCACTCACAGCAATGCCCCCGCAACGCAGACCGGCCCCTACTGGAAACGGTCATGCACAGAGACACCCGCTCATAGGGCTGGCCCCCACAGACACACAGACGCTCACTCGTGGACACATTTGGTTGCACAGAAACACGATCACTCCTCTCTCTACACCCTGGTTTACAATCTTACAAACACATTCACACACACGCACACACACACACACAGTCACATACATAGTCACAGTCATACCCACACAGTCACAGCCACACAGGCGTATGTATTGCCACTGTCACCAGAGGAACAATCCCTCCTACACCCCTACACTTCCTACAAGAGGCCAGCAGAAGCTGAGGGACAGGAGGGTTGGCCCCAGAAGCTACTGCTATAGACTCTGGGCTCCCCTGATCCCAGTCCCTGTGCTGGGGGTTCAGGAGTCAGCCTGACTCTCTCTCTGCCCTTCACACGGTCTGAGGAGCTGCAGCTTCGCCATGCACAGGGCTCCTAAATATCCCCTGAGTTGGAAGCAGCACACACACACCCCCCCATCAAGCTGGGCCCTAGGGAGGAAGGATAACAAGCCCCAGACCTGAGCCACCTCCTGCCCCAGGGATGAGGGCCAGGGGAAGAGGGTGTTGCCCCTGGAGAGAAGGTAAGGTGCTCCCTGGGCCCCAAAACCTGCAAGTGTGGCCTCCTCAGACCCTCCAGTGACAAGTGATGCCTGGCCCTTGCTGCTGTTCCTTCCTGTGATGTGAAGAGGCCACAGGATACACTTAGAGCCAGGGGCCAGACTGAAAAGTCTGCAGATTTCTGAGCATGCGTCATAAGTGTGAGAGCATGTGCTGTTTGTGTGAGGCTGGGATTGCACAATACCATCACTGTGCAATGATGTCATTGAGGGGGTAGGACAGTGTATCTATGTATGTGCCCTCTAGGGTGGCACATCTCTGCTGTGACCCATCATGAGCTGGTGTGAGTGTAGCCACGTGCGTGAAGGTGCGAGGCTGTGGTCCCCCCAGGCCATGCACAAAAATGTGATTTTGTGACCAGTGAGAGGATTGGGCATGACTGGTGTGCATAGAAAGGTATGGAGAGAGTGTTTAACAGACTAGGTGGTCACTGAAATCATGAATGTGCACGGCAGGTCCCGGTAGCTGTCTTGGTGCCGTGAGCCTCCTTGAACAGCGGTACATGAATGATCATCGCCCTCTGACCTCCGGGCTATTTGGTGCTTGCATTTCACCATCTGCTTATGTGTGTGATGATCTGGGTCTGTGGGTCTCTGGTTATGCTGTCTGCTTACTTAGGGGTGAATGCATGTACTGGGTCCACATTTCTGTAAATGATGCGTTTGCCCATGTATTTGCAGAGACCAGCTTGAGGCTGCACCGGTTTGCATGTCCACACAGATGTGTTTGTGATTACACAGGAATTTCTGCAAATAGCTCAGGGAATTCTAATGCGTATTGGAACCAATTCAAACTGAGTCAGAGCAGGTCCAGTTTCCCTAAAGTCATTTTATAAGCAGGCTTCCTCCGTGTATCCACCCACTCACCCTGGTCTTCCTCCCCACCTGGAAGGTGGAACAGGATTGGAAGTTTCAGAAAATGTGTTCTACTGGGAGTCCAAGTCAGAGGATTCTTCTTACCCAACTGAGGAAGAAAAGGAAGACACTAGTGTAGAAAAGGTATTTATTTGATTTTTGATTTTTTATATTTTTTAATAGAGAAGGACATAGAAAGAAATTAAGAGAGTATTCCCTTGCAGGGAGGGCCTCAGTATAGCCTTTAGCAAATCTGTGTCATAAAACCCATCTCCTTTTAAAACCCCTCTTGGAGAATTGTGCAAGATTTCTGCAGCCCTGGCTGGTTTGGCTCAGCGGTTGAAGCGTCAGCCCACAGACCAAAGAGCTGCGGGTTTGATTCTGGTCAAGGGCACTTACCTTGGTTGCGGTTTGGTCCCTGGCCCTGGTCAGGGTCGTGCGGGAGGCAACCAAGCGATGTGTCCCTCTCATATCGATGTTTCTCTCTTTCTCTCTCTCTCTCCCTCCCACACTGTCTGAGGATAAATGAAAAAATATCCTTGGGTGGAGATTTTAAAAAACGATTTCTGCAAGGAGATCCAGACAGGATAAAATGAAGGCGTTGACACAGCCTCTGTGCTTGGGAAGTATATCTGTCTATCTGTCCACATCAGTTTCTCACAAAGGGTTGTACATCTGCTTGAGCTCAGTCAGAGTTTGATTTCATGGGGGAAGTTTTTCCAGGATATGGGGAGTCATCCAGATTCTTTTGTTCTTTTTAGTCTTTTTTTTTTTTTTTAGCAAGTCTGAGAATACCCAGTTCACCCATCCTTGAATCCTTGTCCTCGGCCACCTAACTTTGCCCTCCATCTGGACTCTGGGTTCAGCCGTGCATCTTGCTTTGGTCAGTAGGGTGTTGAGAGGCTTGAAAAGCAGCTGCCAAGCAGGACTGAGATCCTGACTTCCGGTGTCACGGTCTCGGGGTTCAGGTCCTGACCTTACTATTCACTAGCTAATTGACCCTGGGCAAACTGCTTAACTATAAACTGAGAATAAGCCTGGCCAGTGTGGCTCAGTGGTTGAGCGTCGACCCATGCACCAACAGGTCATGGGTTCGATTCCCGGTCAGGACACATGCCCAGGTTGTGGGCCCAGGCCCCAGTAGGAGGCAACCAATCGATGTTCTCTTTCATCGATGTTTCTAGCTCTCTTGCCCTCTCCCTTCCTTTCTAGAAATCAATAAAGAAAAAGAAAAAAAAAACTTTTTTAACTGAGGATAATCATATCTCTCTAGGATTGCTATGAGAATTATCTCAATATATGTTAGTCACTCTCACTAGTTCAGGCAGGTGAGAAAGAGACAAATGATGGGACTTTTAACTGACCATACTGTAAAAGTACGTACATGTTGTATTTATCCAATAATATTTGTTTCCTTTTGTTACTCATTATTTAAAGTGAGGGAATATATTACTTTCTGGTTCCCTAAAAACAAAGTCTCTAAAATGACTCTCACATGTT